CAGAATTTAACTCCACCGGCCCAATTAGAATATGTACTCCGTATCATATTATGCCCTAGCCTACGTCTTTGCCATTCGACCACACAATTCGCCGCCCTATCCCTTCTCTCCCTAAATCCCTATATCGGCGATTTCTTCAAATCGCCGAACTCAAATTTGGCCTTATGTCTCCGATGTTTTGAACACGCCGCGTTCTAATTTGTCGGAGGCTTAATCTCCGTAGAATAGTGATGTTATTGTAGATCGATCGTGCGGCGATCTGAAGTTGTGGTGGTTCAAGGACGGTAGATGATTTGAATCAGGGGTAATTTCGGTGAAATTAATTTGTTATATTTCCATCGGAATATCTTCATGATTATATACTCCCTTTTTTCAAAGATTATTATGAAATATTAGAGCTGAATATCTTCCTTAATTCTTCTTTGTTAAATTATTTGGATCTTCATCCTAGATGGATATTTGCCGTTAGATGAAAAATATTTTTGTTAAAAAAAATAAGAAATTATTGTTAAAATATTTTGACAAATTCAAACGACATGCATAGAATTTCTGTGTTCCTCAAGAATATTTTTTACTCTAGTTAGTGAGAATGTGTTCTTAAAAGTACATATCTGTTTTTCAAATCAGTTTGTGAAAAGAGTAGTATTTTTAATCGATTATAAATTTTGTAAAACGCCGATCTTGTTAAAGAAATTAATTTTTTCCAGTAATTAATAATTTCGAAGTGAATTTCATAATTTTTAAAAGAACATATCAATACTTTTTACTCTGATTCGGAGATGTATGATATTATTTATATACCTATTTCTAGATGAATTGATTTGAAAAATAAAAAAAAAAATGAAATTTTTTTCTCTAAATAATTTTTAAAAAGAATTAAAAAGTTCTTATTTTTCTAAACTTTTCTCAAACAAGTTTAGTCTTAAATTTAAACATAAATTATAATGCGAAATATTCATATCTAATTTTTAAAAATAATAATGTAAAACAGGGAGTATAGATGAATGTTTAGAGAAAAGCCATTGAGCCTTATTCACCATGTTCAATAAGTAATGTTGAACATGATAAAGGTTCTATTGCACATTATCAGTTTTTTAAGGCAGAAAATTAAAATTACAGAGCATCGTCAAGGCGGGTATGTCATTTAAACAGGTAATAAATAATTTTAATTTATTTTAAGTATCCACACACACACACACACACACATATATATATATCTGTTAATTTTTTCTATAATAATTTATGTAAGCAATAGAAGTTACCTTTGTCCAATTCCTCTTCTGAATCATGTATTGAAAATATTCTTTCAGATTTCGCAAGCTTTCTCATCGCAAGGGAGACACTTATCACAGGTATCCTGTAATTTTACAATGATCTACCTAAATGAGCTTGCCAAATTACAAATATAAAATTGATTATTGATAATTTTATTTAATCATCGAAATAATACATTTTTAGTTAATATTTCAGAACTGTGATTTGAAAATACTTTCCAAAACTGTTTTTTTCAGTCACTGGCATTTTCATTAAATTTGTAAAATCAGTCTTTTAGGAAATTTGAGTTTAATAAGTCAAAACACACGAAGCAAAACATATTTGTTTCTTAAAAACATTTTAAAATAAGTAAAGTGTAAATTACTAACCTTAGAGAGGAAGAATTTAATGCTAGTCTTGAATGCTCAATATGAACTTAAATGGTGTGGTTGGTTAGGAGGTTGAGAAATAAATAAGGTGAGTTAGAGGGAAACACTAATATACTTGTGTTCCTATATAGTGTATTAAATGCAAGGAACTAAAGCCTATGGTGAAGATAGGTGTGTGGATCAATAAGTGTGGTTTTATTAATTAGTGTGTATAGTTCCATTACTTGATTTATAATTTTATAAATATTTACTGCTTATATGTATATTAACATATACGTAGTATATTTATATATATAAATACAAACATACATACATACATACATACATACATACATACATACATACATACATACATACATACATACATACATACATACATATATATATATATATATTTACGCACTCCCACATACATATACACACAGAATAAATACATGTATTTATATATTTCAAAATATTTTAACAATCTTTAGTTGAAAATATTAATATATTATTTTTTCATTCTGATTTGATAAATTATTAATTTTTAAGAAATAATGTTTTTACGATTATATATATAAATATTTTCATGCACTCCCAAATACATATACACACAGAACGAATACATGTATTTATGTAATTAGAAATATTTTAACTATTTTTAAATTAAAATATTAATATATTATTTTCATTCGGATCTGATATAAATATTTAATTTTTAAGAAATAAGTATTTTTTTACGATTATATATATAAATATTTTTCACACACTCCCACCTACATTTACATACCCAATAAATACATGTATAAAGATATATATATGTATACGAAATGTTTTTTTAAAAAAAAAACATTTAATATTTGAAAATTGTTTAACGATTTGTACCTGCGTATTTATATATGAATACACACACACCTAAATTTGCAACCAATTTAAGAAGTTAGGAAGTTATGAATGAAGGTAATATAGATATTTATTTATGTTGGGCCATTATTTAGGGAGACACATGAATTTAAATATTGGATTCTGATATTCATGTTTAACAATTGTTAATTTCGATCTTATCACACATACATGTATGTTGAAAATGTCGTACTTGTTTATTATTTACTCCGTGTGTGTGTGTGTGTGTGCGTGTGTGTGTGTGTATATATATATATATATACACACACAATCACACACACATATAGAATTACTAAAGATACATATTCGTATATATAATTTTTAGTGTAGATAAATGTATTTATTTATCTAGAATTTGTAAGTGTATTGTTTTATTTCTAAGTCATAATATCGTATTTATTAAGTAATTATTTTTAATCTTCAATCGTTCCATGAAATTATTTAAATTAAATTAAATTATTATAACATTGAATATTTTCAAATATTTAAAAACAAATGATATTAGTAAATAGGCCCAAGTCATAATGAAGATAATAAAATCTCATTTAATGCTATTAATAGTCCTAGGCATGTGGCTCTAGGAGTGTGAAATGAACTTAACTTTTTTTTTGAAAGTAGTCACTTCAATGAGATTTTAGCAAATATGATATTTATTGCACATTGGGCCACACACCTCACAAATTAATCTTTTTGAATTTCCAATAAATAAAGGAGCATTGGGCCACCCACCAATGTGTAACTCCATATTTATTACACATTGGGCCACACACATCATAAATAAACTGATTTCGTAGCCTACATTAAGCCACACACAAATAAGTATGATTACTTTTAAGGTTTGCAGAGTCCATTTTTTATTTATTATTTTCGAGTTCTTATCTCATAGGCATGTATGTTTAACCATTTTATATATATATATATATATATATATATATATATATATATATATATATATATATATATATATATATAAACACAGAATCACTAATTTTATATATTCACATATATAAAAATTCTTATATAAAAAACTATATATTTTTCTAAATTTGTACCAATATTTGGACTTATTTTTTCGATGTTTGAAAATCCTGATTTGATAAATATGACATTAAATACACATTGGGCTACACAGCAATGTGTAATTTATCGTTTTTAATGCATTGGGCCTCACACCTCATAAATAAATGTATTTTCGAAACCCTATAAATGAAGGGAGCATTGGGCCACACACCAAAAGAATATCATTAAATCTAAAGTAAAATAGTGAATAGGTCTAGGTTATAATGAAGGGAGTAATACTTCATTTAATGCAAGATCTTTTAGTATCCTTCTATAAAATAAGGGAGCATTGGGCCACACACCAAAAGAATATCATTAAATCCAAAGGAAAATAGTGAATAGGTCTAGGTTATAATGAAGGGAGTAATATTTCATTTAATGCAAGATCTTTTAGTATCCTTCTATAAAATAAGGAAGCATTGGGCCACACACCTTAGTGTTACTTTACATTTATTACACATTGGGCAACACACCTCATAAATAACAATATTTCGAAAGTATAAATGTGTAATAAAGCATTTATTACACATTGAGCCACACACCAATAAGCATCATTACTTTTCTTCGGATGGCAGTGTTTTTTTTATTGTATTTTCAGGGTTCTAAACTCACATTTATACATACACATATATATATATATGTAACATATATGTGTGTGTGTGTGTATACATACCGAATCTATAATTTTATATATTCGTATGTATACTGCTTTTTTCTACACCTTATTTAATTATTTATTGATATTAGTACCACAATTTGGAAAAAACGTTTTTTCAAGATTCGGAAATTAGTACCACAATTTTATATATTCGTATGTATAAAACTTTTTTCTACACCTTATTTAATTTTATATATTCGTATGTATAAAACTTTTATGCCATAAATTTCACATTATTACACTTTGGAACACAAAACAATATTTAATAACGCATTTTTTTCATTGGGCAACACACCCAAGAAATTTTGATATTTTCGAAATTCTAAAAATTAAAGGAGCATTGTATAAACCATTAGTACTAATTTTTTTAATAGGCTTATGCGTGTGGCTCTAGGACCATGAAACCTATTTGCATTCTTTGTGTAGAATGTTGTTAATCCAATAAATACTCATAAAAAATGGTTTTTATAATTATGATTCCGTATGCTTAACCAAATTGCATTTTTCTCATGGTCAGTAAACTCCATAAGTTTTGTATATATTGTTTTCGTAAGGTTGGCTATACATACTTATGCATGTTTATCAAACCTTTAGGTATGTTTATGATTCCTTAGCTGTTTTATTGAATTGAGTTTGCCATAAATTAGTGATAAAATATGCACACGGATATTTTTACATTGAATCTAAGCACAATGATATTATATTAAAGATTGCGAGTTGGTTTATATTCAAAATTTTTATTTTGAATATAAGAACACAAAAGGAATGCAAATTTATGATTTTCTTATGACCCAATGATAGCATTTCAAATAGCTTTGATAAGACTTAAAGTGTTATAAAAACACTTCTAACTTAAGAGATCAACATACAAAATACTTAAGGAGAATGTCTCCTATAAGAAAACAATAATGGACTAACAAATACTTTCATAACCCCAAAAACATAAAGATAACATTAAACAAAATACAAAAAGGGTTGTCCAAAATGGGGTTACATAGCCGTCCTTAAACATTCACACATCCTCGTGAATCATTTTGGCCTTCTTCTTTGATGATTGCCCGTCCAGTTCATCAAATAATTCTCTTCTCACGGAGTCATTCTCATCGACATCATCAATCTTTCTTGGCCTTGTGTTCACGCTCTGGCTTGAACTCGGTTCACTTGTACCAATCTATTTTAAAATTTAGGAATAATTAGAAGAGTAGAAAATAATTATAAAAACAAATAGATAGAAGTAAAAGCATTATACCACTTCATTCACTTTTTGGCTCAAATCTTCTAGTGAATTCCACCAACCTTCACTTTCTTCCTCGACTTCCTCGTCCTTTACAAATGCAACATGTTCATAGTTTTTCAAGATCTTCGGGTCAGTGACCAAAGATCTAACACCAAAAGCCCTTGGCCCTATCCAATGTGGACTACCGACATCTGGTTTCAAGAGAACATTAAACAAACACTTCTGTCCAAGGAAGCGATTCAATTCGGTTGGGAGCAAATTCGGATCCATGTTTCTCTGTTCATAAAAAAAATAATATACAAAAAATTAGATATACGAATATACTACTTTTACAAATTTTTTATGAAACATAGATTCCGAAAATAACCTCTAGCATAATCTCTCTCAATAAGAAGGCGCTTGCACCCAAGACATTCTTGCATTCTCTGTCCCAAAGAATGAATGAGGCATGACCGGTTGAATCGTAAACACGAACATTAACTTTGAACCTATTTGATAAAGTGTGAAACGTGCATTAACAATAGGTCACATAGCAACATAAATGATTTGTAATTTTAAATAATCAAAAAGAAATTAAACAATAGTTACTTGTAAACTCCATGAGGAACAGTAATACGACATCCGGAACACCTGAAACTCTCGCCATCGGGGATTACTTTCTTGTTGCAATCAGTACATCCCAAATAACACCAATCAGCAACATTTTCTAGAGATGCTATTTCACCAACAATCCAATATGGCCCAGGCTGTCAATAGATTCAATATTATTGTTAGGTCTAAGTGTATTATATTTTTTGTTCTCAACGTGAAAGTGTTATTTTATTACCTTAGTTGTCTCCAATAGATTTCTATTTGTGGTTATAGACATAACCCCGTGATCATCATCATCTACCCCAGCTAGCATGAGACCACCCACTGGACCCCCATCATCAACATGCAATGGTAACCTACAATATTTCATTAGTAGATGGTTAGTAGACAAAAATTAATAATAATTTCGGCCGAAAAAAATAATATAAAATAAATTGTTACCTTGCTCTAAATGCATTGACCTCTGCGGAATTGCCATCAAAAATCATATTTGTTACGTGGAATGAAGTTGACACCGTCACAGTACCTACACAAAGAATTTATCTTTACTAACACAATATTAAAATTTATATTGCAATTAAAGTTTGAGGAATTCTATCTTACCCATGTAGCGTTTTGGTTTGCAAAAACTCAAGAGTAGAATCATGGGTTCCTGCACATTTTGGGTCAAACAACCCAAAAATCTTTCCACATATTCTCCCCATAGGGTACATCCCAAACGATTACCCCTGAAATTTTCACACACTTAAGCAAAAGTGAATGTATAATGTTATATGAACATTTCATATCAAAACTTTTTCATACTCATGATCTTCTAGTGTTATTTCCATCAACTTTTGTTCTTTGCCCATTCTTATGTGTGTTTGAACTTTTGACCAGCCAACAATTTTCCCAATCACATCTGCATTGATTTTCTCGATGAGTTTGTGTGTATGAATGATCATTCAACAATGTTTGCATATTATGATACTTTGATAATTTCTTTAAAATATAATATAGTACCAATCAAGACTTGATCATTCAAAATCGGTTGGTTTTGAATCGTTGCAAAAGATTTCAAATCAAACATGAAACGTGGAAAATCGCTTCCATCCAATGTTTTGACTCTTGTTTTTGCGTAAAAACCCAAAAGTTTATCATTTGAGGTAGTTTTGGCGGATTGGAAATTGTCATGAACAAAAACATCTCGAATCCCATAAACACCGTTCTCAACAATTTGATTCTCAAACCGTTTTTTTTCCGGTTTTTTGAGATGTGCGTGAATCCTTGCGCCCTATACAAACAAAGAGAGTTTAGATTAGAAATAGTTAATATATACATTATGATTAAGTACAAAAAAATTTGGAATGTAATACATGTTCATCGTGAAAAACGACTTTCATTGAATCTCCGCCTTTGGTCCAAACGGGAACAAAATACACACGCACGGCCCGTAACTTGAACATCAAAGTCGGCCGAGTGTTGCCAAGCTCACCAACGAGAGACCACATGCTTAAAGAAGACGTTTGAGACATTTGATGATTTTTTTGGATGTTTGAGATGTGAATTTGGAGTGAATGAAGTTTAGCTCATAATGCTTGAGTATTTGATGATTTTTTTGGATGTTTGGATGATACATGTAACCATGCATTAATTGGTTTAGATTTTAAAAATCTTTAAAATAGATGGATTTGACACAAAGTAATTTTTTTTAAAACTACCTTTATGGAGCCACCAAATTTATGCTATCAATGCAACTTTTTCGAAGCTAGTAATGAATGGACATAAAGCAGGCCATTTCCGTATTCCAATGCAGTCCAATTTCGTCAACCAATGCAGGTCCATTTCATCAACCAATGCAGGCCCATTCCATCAACCAATGCAGGCCCAAAACCGCAGCTAGGCCCGCCTACTTTAGGCGGGAACACTGTTCACAGAGAATTCCACCTAGCATTGTATATAGGAGGATACATAAACTCTTCAACTACATCTCATATTATTTCTCTTCTTTTCTCCCTAAATATTCAAAATTAATCTATTCTTCCATAATCATCCAAGAAGTTGAGGTATGTTTTCTTAGAATAATTCTTTATAAGTTTTTTAAATATGTACTCCCTCCGTCCATAAATAATGTTCGTACTTTCCTTTTCAGTCCGTCCATAAATAATGTTCATGTTTCCTTTTTTGGTAACTTTTTTTATGTCAAAAGACCTAATTACCCCTACTTTATTTTTATTCTCTTCTTTTTCTCTTTTCATCCACTCTTCACAGCCAACCCCACACACCCTTTTTCCATCTTTTTTTTCTCTTTTTTCTTCTCTCTTTTCTTCTTTCCCTCTTTTTTGTTCTTTCCTTCTCCATTCCCAGCAGTCCGGCCATCTTCTTCTTCTCCCCTCTGTTTCTCCTCTCTTCTTTCCCCTGTCTTTTCTTTACTTTCTTTTTCCAGATTTCTTCCTCCTCTCTAGTTCCCTGTCTTCTTCTTCTTCTTCGGATTCTTCTTCTTCTTCTTCTTCGTTTTCTTCTTCGGATTCTTTATTTTCTTCTTCAGATTATTCGGATTTGGTTCAGATCTGCAAACCGAAGGAATTCAGCCCTACAAGTGCCGCTGTGAACAATGTCTGCGCTAGGGTTGACCTTCAATTGAGTTGAATTCTTCCACAAATCTTCGAGATTGAGCTGAAATTAGTCTTCTACATGGATATGTGAATCCAAGGAACCAAGAATCATCAAAAATGGATCACAAAACCAAGGAGAAATTCTATTGGGAAGATCCGTGGCACTGTTCATGTCCTGGAATGATAGGGTTGGGCGGCGGAGCATTGCTGGCGGTTGAAGACGTCCGACCGGACATTGAGGGGTGGGTAGTGGGGCAAGGGGCAGGGAAAGTGGGGAGGGCATTTTGGGAAAGTCAAAGCAAATTTTAATTTTTATTAAACTCACTGCCAAGTCAAAGTCTGAACATTAAAAATGGACGGAGGGAGTAATACATATTTTTTTTAATTTTACAATATGTAATACATTTTTTTATTTTACAATACGTAATGCATATTTTTTTTAATTTTACAATGTGTAATGCATATTTTTTTTAATTTTACAATATGTAATGCATATTTTTTTAAACAAGATTTTTTACCATTTTATTGTACTATGAGTAGATAGAAGTTCAATAGAATTTTTTTTGAAGCATAATGTATGACCCAGCGAGAGAAATAGCAGGTCCTAGATCGAGGGACATTCTTACGTTACAAGCTACACATCATTCGCGTGAACTATGGCATAACCCGGATTTTATAGACAACAAAGTCTCTCCGGTTCGCTACGAAGGTAGTCTTCCAACGGTTTTTCATGATGATAGAGTTTATTAAATGTTGCACCGGTCAGGGTTTTATGGAGTGCACCGTGTGCAACTTATCCGATTAGACCATGGTCTAATCACTTCTCTTGTTGAGCGTTGGAGACCAGAGTTACACGCATTTTACTTTCCTTTCGGTGAGATGGGTATCACCCTACAGGACGTGGAATGCTTACTAGGACTTCCGATTGATGGACTACCTGTCATGGGCTTTGATTTAAGTATTGAGGATTGGAATGTCTTATTTAGAGATGTTTTGATGTGGACCACCGAGGACACCCATTTTTGTCGTTTTGACCAATTCAAGATTGCCCTTCTTTTTTAGGGACAAACCATTCAACCAAATAATGAATGACCTGATCAGATGGTGGCTCAATATACCGCTAGACTCATATATATGCATATATGGGTGGTTTATTATTTCTAGATTCTTCGGGTATGTACGCACCAATTGATTTCGTGAGATACTTACGAGATTTTAATGAGACATCTACTTTTAGTTGGGGCTCTGCAATTTTAGCGCGATTAAATTTTTCGCTCTATAAGGCTGCGTTGAAGACTAACCCGCGAACACGTCCCGGGGGTTGTCTTCTTCTATTGCAATTATGGGCGTGGACTCGAATTTTGACCATAAGACCCATAGTGAATAATGTTCCGAACAATCCACACGGGCCTCCTCGCGAAGACGACCCATTTGGTGCACGGTATTCATTTACATTAATTTAGATTATCGAGGTTATAATTTTTTTCTCTTATTTTATATCAAGTTCTGATACATTTATTATTATTCAAGTGGAGACAGACCAAGATGTACACTGCCTCTGCTAGGCAAAATGTACGCTACTTTAGGAATCAACTTGACTCTTTGCAGTTCTGAAATGTAAGATTAATATTCATAAAATAAATTCTAAGAAGTATATCATGCATTGACTAATAAATGTGTAAAATATACAGGTTGTTTGGCAACCGTACGACATTGATCAGTTGCCGGCTTATTGTCGTCGTACTCCTCAGCTATGGACTTTCCAAGGCTATGTTATTTATCGTTCGATTATTGAGCCTGTCATGCCTATGCGATTCACACGACAGTTTGGGATGTTGCAAACCATTCCCGATCTTACCCATCCGTATACGGAGGCCTATCATAAACCCAAGGGATGTAAATCGACCCATTCGGTACAAGCATGCGTGGCGCAATGGAGGGATAATCGCTTCGCCCTTACTGTTTTTCATCAAATGGAGCCCGTAGTAGGCGAGAATCCATTCCAAATTGCCGTGGAGTATGCTCACTGGTTTGCAACGTACGACTGGCGTATTATTGGAAACCCCTATCATCGACCTCTAGAGGGATCTGAAAATACTTCTGCTAATTTGCATTCTTGGTAATTTAGAAATTATAAATATTTACTTATAATAAAATAAATACTTCACTAACTGATTTTTTTACTTATAATAAATTAAAACTTTGATTGTTAATTCGAGTATGTCTTGGGAAAATATTCGCCAAGAAATTCAATCACATTATACGGCAGATGGTTACGGGATTTTATCGATGAAATTGATGGGCATCGAGAGTGATAGGTTATGGGAAATATTTTTCCAAAAGGCCATTCCCTTGGGTTTACTGGAAGTATACATCGACAGTGATCGTGCGGGTGGAGACGAGGCCGGTCCATCGAGACGTGTTGATCGTGATCGGTTGCGGAGGGAGACGATTGCAGATGAAGTTATTAACAACCCTGACTCTGATGATGATGAAGAGTACATTCCTTTAGACGACGACATTGACACAGAAGAACATTGGATCCGTGAAATGGAAGCTGAAGCTGGTGAACGGGGAATTTCTTATAAGTCTAATGGCCCTCTTGCAATAGGTATGACCTTTCCCAATTATGAATCACTTAAAGATGCAGTTACAAAACAATGTGTGGCGAACAATCGTTTTTACCGAAACGAATACAAAAAAGCGGGATCATGGGTATGTCGGTGTTGGTATTACAACAAAAGCCCGCCCTATTTTTGGCGTGTTCAAGCACAAGGATTAAAATCTGGAGTCTGGAAAATAAAACAATTGCGGGACGTGCACACTTGTCATCTGGATTATTCTCACGGTGGCGATGATTTAAACATCGATTATTTCTCCATTGCCCGGTTCATTTTCGGAAAAGTACGTGTGGATCCGGAGTACAAAGTGAAGTTAATCCAACATGACGTTTTACAGGAATTTCATGTGCCTGTGTCTTATAAAAAATGTTGGTTAGCTCGGATCCGTGCTACAAAGTTGTTGTACGGTAGTTGGGAGAATTCGTATTCTCAACTTCCTATTATGTTGTACAATTTACAAAATTCTTATCCAGGAACTGTAGTCGATGTTGTCTATGCAACCGAACCGCCAAACCTTAATGCCACGCCTGAAGAGACCTCGCGCTTTAAGTATGCATTTTTGGCGTTCGCCGCGGCAATACATGGATTACAATACTGCACGCCTGTAGTGACGGTGGACGGAACTCATTTGTACGGAAAGTACAATGGTCATCTCCTTCTTGCGGTTGCAATGAATGGTAATCGTGAAATCTTTCCTCTGGCTTATGCGGTTGTTGACAGAGAAACATGTGAGAGTTGGACTTGGTTTTTTGCCTTCTTGTTCAGAGGGTTATCGGCTCACAACAAGCCTGTATTATTTCTGACAGACATATTGGAATCATTAACTCCTATCGTGACCTTCCAGAACTACAGACCGAATTGATAATGAAACGTTTTTGTCTTCGCCACGTTCGGAGCAACATCATGACAAAGTTCCAGAACAATGATCTTAAAAATTTGGTTTGGGCCGCTGGTAGTACACATAATATCCAACAATTTGAAGGATATATGGCTGAAATACGAAACATGAGTGAGGAGGGATATAAGTATTTAAATGATATTCCCCATGCGGCATGGACCCTTTGTTTTGATGGTGGGTTTAGGTGTGGTATCTTAACGACAAATAGTTCTGAGAGTTTCAACAGTATGCTGAAAGGTTGTCGAATGTTACTGGTCACTGCCATTTTATCCATGTCCTATGCCAAGATGGTTGAATTGTTTGCTAAAAGGTACAAGCTTGGTATTCAGTGGCAAGAACAGAGCATGCACATTAGTCCGAAAATTAAAAATGTTCTCCTTAATCGGGAGAAAACTAAGCACAAGTGGACAGTCTCAAGCTATGGTAACAACCAATACGTAGTGACTCCCACATCTCGAACAGATCCTTCTTCTATTTACAGCTACTTCGTCAATTTGTTTAGTAGTGTATGCACTTGTGGGCAGTGGACATCTGATAGTATACCTTGTGTTCATGTTCATGCTGTTTACCACTCTTTTCGACAACAAGTTCCTCACAACATATTACCGGCTAGGTACTCGGTTCAAAACTATTTGAGTTGTTATAGTGGTATAATTCAACCTGTTCTTTTCCCTCAAAATTTGGATGTTGGCATCTTTAAAGTTCTACCTCCCAAACGGCCAACAGATGAGATTCTACGTTTAGGGAGACGTCAACGCAATCGATACCAGGGCGAGATGGATTTCAGGGCAAGGAGATGATTTTAGTTTAATATTTTTTTAGTTTCTATCAGGGAAGGTATTGTAATTCTTGTTTACTTTAGATGTTGAGAATGTAATTTTCTGTTGATGTTTTAATATATTTATGTTTTCAATATTGCCTACTATTCGTTTAAAAACAAGTTTCTGAAAATTATTTAGATTTTTTGTTTAAAATTTGATTTGTCCAATCCCTTTATTTAAATGATTTATTAAACTTTTTCTTGATGAACATCTCTTTATTAAATTTCTATCGATTGAGTTTTTTTAAACAAATTATATACTGAATCATAAAAAATATTTCTTTTTATTAAAAAAAAGGGTTTATGAAATCGGCCAATTTTTTTTTCAAACATACTTTTTTTGGAATGAAGAAATCGGCTTTATGAAAGCCATTTAATTTATTTTTTTTACAAAAAACGGCTTTATGAAAGCCAATTTTTTTTAATTTTTTTCACAAAAAACAGCATTGTGAAAGCCGATTTTCAACAATTTCTTTTTGTAAAAAACGGCTTTACTAAAGCTGATTTACTCTCTCAAGAAATGTGTGCTCCAAAACTTCCCTCTGAGGGAGTTAATTCACCAATCTACCTCCCCTGTTCGTAATTCGTGTTGTCCACTCCAACTAACTCTCCTGCATTATGGCTAAGCTTTTGCTTCTTTCCCTCATCGGTCTTCTTTCCGTAATTGCCGCGGCGGCGGCAGTAGACATGTCGTCTATAATAACTTACGGCGAGGATCATTCCGAGAAAGGACTGGCCGGTCGCACCGACGGCGAAGTCATGGCTTTGTACGAGTCGTGGTTGGCCGAACACCGGAAGTCGTACTACGGTCTCGGCGGGGAGAAGGAGAAGAGGTTTCAGATCTTTAAGGACAACTTAAGATACATCGACGAGCAGAACAGCCTGGTAGATCGGCCGTACAAGCTCGGATTGAACCGATTCTCCGATCTGACTAACGAGGAGTACCGGTCGACGTACCTCGGCGTCAACACCGATGTTCGCCGGCGATTTTCTAAGACGAAGAGCGATCGGCGCTCTCCGAAGGTTGACTTTAGCTTGCCGGAGTCCGTTGACTGGAGGGAGAAAGGAGCGGTTTCGGAAGTCAAAGATCAGGGAAGTTGTGGTATGTCTTCTTCTTCGTCTATTGCTTCTGCTCCGTGTGTTTTTATGCGATTGGGATTTTTATACTCGAAAAAAGAGTTTCCACATAACTTCTACGATGCTATCCTCCTTAGTCCTTAATGATGATAGGGTACTTAGATGACTTAGCTTGGAAAACCAGAGTGAATGTTGGAATAGCTGAAAAGAGTGAAAAAAAACTTGAAAAAGATGGAAGAATTTGGAGGAATTAAAAATAATTGGAAGAAGATGGAAGGAGTTGAAACAAATTAAAAAAAGTTAGAAAAACTGGAAGAAGTCTGAAGAAACTGGAAGGGATGCTGGAAGAAACTGCAAAGAGTTAGAAAATTTTTGAAAGAGTTTAAAAAATGTTAAAATAATTATTTTATTTTATAAATTTCGTATATTATTTGAAAAATGTTTACTCCACTTTAAAATTTTAACCCCTTTTTATTAAATTTATTTTATGCCATTATATTTTGTCCCAAATTGTAGTTGTATTTTTTTGTGACTCACACTCTTTCCGTCTTTCTTACTATTTAAAATCAATATAACTCAAATAATTTTTTGTTTTTCAGTTGTATGTCACTGCTCCATATAAAAAAATAAGAAAACAAACGAAGAAAAAAAAATTTCACTAATCTTAGTCAAAAGAGAAACTGGACTTAAAAAATATAAGGATTTCGTGACCAAACAAAAATAATTTTATATCATATTTTATATATTAAAATAATTACAAAAATTACCTGAGACTAACAATGTAAATTTTGCATTCAAAATTACTAAAAGAGTAATGATTACAAAGTATATGTCACTTGTGAGAATTCTAATCTCAAATCAGCAGGGTTTTGAGTAATAATTCAAAAGAACTAAAATTAATTTTTTTAAGCGAAGGAACTTGGAACGTTGAATCAAAGAAGAGAGCACGAGGAGACTCCGATTAGGGGTCAGTGCTTAAAAGTGTTTGAGTTGTATTTATTTCAAAAAGTTTTCTATTCTTTTTTTTATTACAAAAATTTCACTATTCTAAAATAAGGAGGGAAAGAGAAAAAAGGCATAAGGATGACGCCAATTTACTTGAGCTATGGTTAAGGTTAGTGCTTCCAAGAGTTTGAGTTATTTTTATTTCCATAAATTTCCTATTCTTTTTTATTAGGAAAAGTTTATTATTTTAAAATAATGAGGAAAAACAAAAAGAGGCATATCAAAAGGCGTCAATTCATTCATGTAAAAAGTTTTAGCATTTTTTTTCTTATGTCACAAGAATATTACAAGTAAAACTATTTTCTTTTACTTTTTTAATATTTTTTTTTTAATGAAAGTCAAATAGAGAAAGTTTTATGCAATTAATATACACCCACCATATGCACATTTAAAAAATAGACAATATTAATTTTACACAGTTATTTCTTCGCGTATTAAACTGATATATGAAAATTTATTATTTTTCATATGCTTAGAACATGGACAATATAAAAACATTAGTGTATGCTCATTTTGAAGTTGTGTAATGCTTAATAAAAGAAAACATAATGACAATTATTTTGGTCAAAATTTTTAAACATTGACTAGAACACATTTCAAAGAAACATAATTCACGAAATTATAAAATCACAAAGATATTATAAATTAATTAATTTAAGGTTTTAATTATTTATATGACTCTATAAAGGTTACCAAAATTTATATCCAGGACACAACTTTTTAATAAAATTTCAAACTAAACTAATTTTTTATTTTATTGTGATAATATAAAATATATGAAAATAAAACTAAATAAATTTTTAAGTCATTGTTTGAAGAAATTAGAAGAACTTGGAAGAGCTGAAATGAGTTGGAAAAAATAGTAGTTGGAAGAAATTGGAATTGGAAAAAAACAGAAGAAGTTGGAGGAAACTGCAAGGAGTTAAAATATGTTGAAGTTACGAGTTAATGGTCAAAAGGACATAGCCTAAGAGTGTGTTTTGTGAGATGCGTCAGAAATTAAGGTATAACTGTTTTTCAAACCGAGATAAGTAATTGTTTTACCCTAAAAAAAGAGGTAGAATGTGTTCGTTTTCTTAAATTGTTTCATATTTTTATCCAAATGGCTTGTCCAAAAATTGTGTTTATTGTAGATTTTAGGAATTTTGAAAAGTTATTAAATTTGAAACTAACGATAACAAGAAAGAGTGATTTTATGGTGGAGAGTAAATTCTTTCGTGGATCTTAGATTTATACTCATTTTATGGATCTTAATACATTCGTAAGATTAAAAAACTGAGCCTATTGCAAAAAAGAAAATTTCTACATGCAAACTCATGACAAATGTGAGAACGTCCACATTTTAAATGTGGACCTTAGGACTATGTAAACATCACTCATGGTGGACTTAAAATCCACATAGGCTTTCCCACATTTTTTTGTAATTTTAAAAATACTTATTTCAATACTTAAAAATGCTTATTTAGCATATATGGTGTGAATGTAATAATTTGCCCACAAGAAAATAATTTATGTCTTGTAAAGCACTTTAATAACGTTATAGGAAAAGGTTCTAAAAACAACACATTATAGGAAAAGGCATGGAAAATCCACTATCTTCCTAAAATATCGTGTTCTTCAATTTTGATCCCTCGACATAAGGCCTGTTTGGGAATAGCGTTAGAGATTGACGTTAGCGTTTTGAATAAAATTTTAACGGTGTAGATTATTTTGAAAACGCTAACGCTAAACGCTGCCCGTAGATAGCCTTTTCAAAACGTCAACGCTAATCGCTAACGCTATTCCCAAACAGGCACATAATCAATTTTGATCTTTTGAATATGACATTCACCAATAATTTTGGTCTCTTACGCATCCTTAACAAATCAGTTTTCAAAATTTCAATGTGTTAGACAAATGTGCAACTCTAGAGGGGGTGTGAATAGAGTTGTTTTCAAGAATGTGCGTTTTTCGCGTGTGTGAAATAATAGAATCGCAGGAATAAATAAAGAGAGTAAGGGAAAGAAGAACACCGAGATTTATACTGGTTCACCACCTCGTGGCTAATCCAGTCTTCTGAGAGACTCTCTCAAAAGTCCTACTAATATTCAAGCTTCAACGGGTGCTTGAAAAAACGGTACAACTTGAGAACTTGAATCACACAAGCCTCACTTTCTTACAACAACAAGACTTGAGTCACACAAGTCTTAAGAACAACACTCAAAAGAGATTGAGTTTACAACACAAGAATGAAAGCTCACACAATTGAGCAAAGTAGTGTTGAAGAATTAAAGCTCTATGGATGACAACTTCTTTAGCACTCAAAGAAAATATTTCTAACTCTCAAAAATAATATTTTGATGAGGAAGATGAAGCAAAGGATGAATATAGCTCAAAGAATATATTGGAGTGCAAGAGGTGTGTGTAGAGATGAAGGAGAATGAGGGATTAAATAGGCTGAGGAAAATAAAGCCGTTGAAGAAAGCTGATGATATGCACCAGACAGAATTAATCGATTAAATTAGGAATTTTAATCGATTAAAGTGTACAGAAGCGAAAAGGCTTGAAACCAAAAGTGGAATTAATCGATTAAAAAAGAGAGAAAAATCGATTATTCTGCTCTGTTTAAACTAATCGATTAAATGGACAAATTTAATCGATTAAGTCTATTGGCCTGAGGAATCCAGCGCTGAGAAATTGGATCTAATCGGTTATTTTAGATAAATTAATCGATTAAAGTAAAAAATAATGCGCAAACATGAAGGGCCCAAGCCAAGTGCGATGAGAAGGGCATTGGCTTTATATTCGTTGTTTGAGACAACGAGAATAACAACAACGCTCCTCAAAAATAATATCCCTTATTCAATGATTTTGAATAGGGGAGAAAAAGTGAGTCCAAAAATTATTTTGTGTGTCAAATGATGTATACGAAAAATATTTAAAGTATATTTTTCTTACCAAAAAAAATGTGTAATCTTAAAAGAATGTTTTTAAGAAATTTTGACACACTTATTTTGAAACTGACTCAATAAAATATTTTAGACAGAGGAAAAGTAATTTTTCAACTGACTCAAAAAATAATAATTTTATCCCTCAGAAATTTAATTTGTTTGTGCAGAAGATATTGTCATCCTTACAAATATTTCTAGACTTAAAAAAAATCTTCGGAGTCTTCACTTCACTTAAAAAAAATCTGCGTAGGGGTGGTCATTGATTTATATCGCCGTAAACTTCTTGATACCCTTCTTTGTTTTTCTCGATACGAAAATAAATTTTCGATCAGCTTGAAATTAATCATCCTGTTTGTCATTCATCAAAACAAAAAAATATTCCAGAAGAAATAGAAAAAGGGGTTTGAACTCATGTCCAACACAATGGTGAAAGATAATAATGTATTTCTATTCATCAAGATATTCAACAATATTTAATGTTGAATATGTTCAGGTTCGGTCTCGAGAATTGAAGGGCTTAAAACAAAATGAAAAAATAGATCCTTAACCCTAATAAATTAACTTATATAAACTTAATTTATCATAGCATTCTAATTAAAAACCGTTATAGTTATCATAAAAAGTAAGATTTTATATTTATTTTTTATAAAAAATATTTTATATACATTTAAAAAAGTAATGATTTTGTGCCCCAAAAATAATAGACCAAGGTCCGTTGGGCTGCTTCGCCGGCCATGAATATGATAATATGAACAGTATATACTTGAAATTTAAATTGGCCTCATTATGTATTTGGAACACCATTTGTCTATTTATACCGTGTTCTCTGAGTTGGAAAAACAGAATTGAGTTTTGGGAGAAACTGAAAAAATTATGGAAAAATTAAAGAAACTAGAAAGAATTAAGTAACTGGAAATAGTTTGAAAAAGTGAAGGAAAGTAAAAGAAATTGCATAGATTTTAAAAATTTGGAAAAAGTTTGATGAAACTAGAAGAATTTGAAAAAAACTACCTAAAAAATAAGTATGTCTTACTTACGTATTTTTAAGCTAGTTTTTTTGTTTCTCTGTTTTGACAAGATTATTTACAAAACTATACCTCACATATTAATAATATACACAAAAGACTTATATATCATTCAAGTAATTTTCTCTACACGAAAGAATTTTGAACTTATAATCAGCTTCTAAGTTAAAAATGCTTATAAGTAATAAGTCAATAAGCACCCGCATGGAGAAACAACCACTTCTTATCCTTATTACTTTTATTATACTTTTTATAGTTAATATCAATAATATATTTGTTGTTTCTTATTTTGCGTGCCACTAACCCATGTTCCAAAAATTATGGATAAAGAGAGAAGTATTCTTTTAGTAATATTAATGGAAAGGAGACTTGACTGGAATGATTCATCTTGATCTAAAACAATAATCTTCTACCATACTTTATATACTAAAATAATTACAAATTGTGTTCTCCGCTTATACCTCACAATAATGACCTGGTACAAAATTTAATATTTTAATCTAGAAAATAATAATTAAACCACTACATTTTGAATTCTTTTACTTTAGAGGTGTGCTAGAGATACTCCAACTTTGTACCCCGAGTTGCACACCATTGTCGTGCGTGCACATACAATGATTGTCTGTGCGTATTTGTGCACAACCATTGTATCGGAATAAGACTGGCATTATTTTCAACTATTTAAACACAAGGAAAAAAAGAGAGTTATACTATATGTTACAAGAATCCTTTTTGTTTTGGAACATTATCCCAAGTCTTTCCTAAGGTAGTAATATACATGAAAAACATTGAGCTCATAGTAATTTCACCTATTGATAAAGTTCCATGTGATGTTGTTCTATTGCGTGAAAAAATTAATTGAACACGTTCAGAAGTTTTATTCCATCTGTCCCAAAAAAATCCTCATGTTAACTATTCACCTATTGTTATATAAATCCTTTAGTGTAGTTTTTAAACATCAAAATTTTGTTTCTTATTTCTATACTAGTTTTGAAATAAATCAAATTGGAAATAATTTTTGTAAAGCATCACAAATCGCAACGTAAAGGTTCTTTCAGGACAAGAGAATATAGGGTTTTCATTGGGTTTCCCTATATTGGGCAGTTATGGCGCACAGTGTGTGAACCTAGCTACTGATTAACATCGGAGCATATGTTCAGATTGCTGACTCCAAAGACTGGTCTACTTGGAGCCAATACTGTCAAGCAAGCCTAGTGGGGGTCACATTGGGAGGGTAATATGTAGGGTATGTCATTTTTAAGAGTCATGCTACACTTACACCAAAAATTGTACCCCATTTGTACACTGCAGTTATAGACAAACATTTTGATAGTTTATATCGACACAAGTGTTGGTGCGTTAACAAAAAATTACACGGACACAAAGTGTTGGTGCATTAACAAAAATTAGTTTTACACTAACACAAAGTGTCGGTGCAAACCTGCGGTGTACAAAATGGGGTACAAAAGTTTGGGGTACAAATAGATTTATCCTATTTTTAATTTTATATTCCAAAGATTCTCAACTTCAGTCTCTGTATTCTAGATTCCATACTCCAGCTATCAGGCTTCAAATTCTTATTTTCAAGTTTTAGTTACAGTTACTACTACATTTGGACACCAGACTCAACACTCTAATATCTAGGATCTAGACTCTAGACTCCAAAATTCAAATTTTAAGTTAAAATTAGGACATAAAGCAGCCTCGTAATGCCCTTTTGTCTATTGTTTGCAATTTTTCATTCTAGCTATCTTTGTACTATTCGTCAAGTTATGTGTGGCCTTAAATCATTTTTTCTTAATTCATATTTTATGAAATTAGAATCACTTTTTTTACTTTGCATCTCAAACCCCAACCTCAGAAAACTAGAGGGAGTGTGGAACGGTGGGAGTAATTGATAAAAGATAGATGAAGAGGAGTTTCTAATCATTATATATTTTGTTTGTTTATTAAGCCGGCAATTGAAATGTAATGTGGCATTAAACTGATATGAGGAAGTGAAACAGGGAGTTGTTGGGCATTCTCAGCCATTGCTGCAGTGGAAGGCATAAACCAGATTGTGACTGGGGATTTGATCTCATTATCAGAACAGGAGCTTGTGGACTGCGACACTTCATACAACGAAGGGTGCAATGGCGGCCTGATGGACTACGCCTTTGAGTTCATGATTAAGAATGGTGGCATTGATACCGAGGCTGATTATCCCTACACTGGTTTTGACGGAAGATGCGACCAAACAAGGGTCAGTAAATCTCGCATATATCCTTACACCACCTATCAATTACTAACTGTTAAGTAAATAAAAATGATTGCCCGTTTGTTTCAAGCAGAAAAATGCGAATGTGGTTTCGATCGATGGGTATGTGGATGTTACTTCTTACAACGAGAAGGCACTACAAGAGGCAGTGGCGGGGCAACCAGTTAGTGTCGCCATTGAAGCTGGAGGCCGTGACTTCCAGCTCTATTCTTCGGTAATATTGCAAACTTTTTTTTACTACCCTACACTTTATTCTCATTCTCAGAATAGAATTTTTCTTCCTCCGTCCCGAAATGAACTTGCCCTTAATATGAAAAATAAAATAGTCAAACACCATACCTGTGGTAAATTGCAATGGAAACTTCATTTTGGAACGGAGGGAGTGTAATTTGCTAAGACCATAGGTGGGACTTAGCCTTGGGCCCTTGGCACATGTAGTCTGAATAGAAAAGGATGAGTGATCATAAATACATTTCCAGGGCATATTCACTGGATCTTGTGGGACAGATGTGGACCACGGTGTGACTGTTGTTGGATATGGTGCCGAAAATGGTGTTGAATATTGGATAGTTAAGAACTCGTGGGGCGCATTCTGGGGAGAAAGTGGCTATCTGAGGATGCAACGTAACGTGAAGGACTCAAACGGTTTATGTGGTATCGCGATAGAACCTTCCTACCCTACAAAGAATGGGGCAAATCCTCCAAACCCTGGTCCCTCCCCTCCGTCCCCTGTTCAACCCCCTAACCTATGTGATGAATACACCGAGTGCTCATCTGGCACAACTTGCTGCTGCGTCTTTCCATTTGGTAACTACTGCTTTGCTTGGGGATGCTGTCCTCTAGAGAGTGCCACTTGTTGCGAGGACCACTACAGTTGCTGCCCTCACGACTACCCCATATGCCATGTTATACAAGGCACCTGCTCAATGGTAATTGACAAGTCTATTTCTTATTTATATGGCAAAAAATCCAATTTATGTATGTAAATTTTCAATGTGTTATATATTATAGTACTTTATTGATCATTGTTACGGCATTCGCTTAATGTAGAGCAAAGATAACCCGCTTGGAGTGAAGGCGATGAGACGCATCCCTGCAAAGCGGATTAGAAACAACAGAATGAAAACGGCGAGTTCTTGAATACTCCCTCCCTGTCTTGGGAGTTTCAAGAGGGTGGAATGAACAAGGCGAAGGCAGGACAGGGGAAGGGATTCTACTTTTAAGTCCCTATCTTGATACACTGAATCCCAGAGATCATTCCATAGCTTGAAGAACTCGTACGCAAGGGGCTCCATTGATGGCGATCATCATCATCATCATTATCATTGTATATATGCTGCTGTTATATATCCCTGGCATTATATTTTAAAAGACAGGACTCTGAATGGGCAGGTCATTGTTTGGTAGTCGTCTGATTACTATGATGCACTGCCGCTACATAAATATGTTAGTGTATTGTTCCGGCATCCAAACGCTGCTGCTTGTACTTTGTATGTATACTAACAATAATGCATATACTGTAATAATTTCAAGAACCTGTGTCACTATCTTAATTATCTTTTGCCTTTTTAAGGCGTTCAGTCACACCACTATTACTCCCAACTTTGAGCCCTATATATAAGCATTTGAGTTTTTTCTGTTTTTATTTTTTCCAATTTCTCTCTTTTCCCATTTTTTAACTCCCCCACTTTTTCCTCTTTTCTTTTTTTTTCTCTTCTTCACTTGTGCGATACCCCTCTTGTTATAGTGCACCCCCTCGTTGTCTTCCCTCTGCCTGTGACGTGCCTCCACTCTCCCCTACCATTCCCGGTCTGTCTGTCGACATGTGATTGCCCTTCCGTGGCCGTCCCGATGGCAACCACTCACGTCGCTTGTCATGCGCGTGAGGGGTGGTGTTTCACCATACTCACGTCATTGTAGAGGGCGCACGCCTTTGCCATGACGAGGCACTATGAATGGTCTTTAGGGGTGAGGGCGTCCATGATGGTCCGTGATACTACCAACCTATCACGGATTGCTTTTATTAAAAAGGTTCGGTATCGGTATGAGATGAATCTCAAAATCATTTGGTACTGTTCTATTTTTGAAACAAAGCGGTACAATACCATAATTATGCCCAAACCGTTCTAAAAAACTTAAACATGATGATAGATATCCGAGCCAGAGACCCGATAGATAGTAACGGCCCAATTGAAGTTGGGCTGACCCGATTGTAAACTTGGAGGCAAGGCCCGAGAATGGGCCGGGAAGAGATCCAATCCAATACCCAAGTAAATGTAATTCCCCGAATCGTGGGATTGATGGGAATCTATAATTGATTCCCCGCCATGATTGACACACGGTTGACAAAATGGCCGATAATGTAGCGCACGACACCACATACCTTGTACATGGTAGATTTAGGCTATAAATCGGAGGCTCATCCTCCATTGTAAGGCAGGCTGAAAGGAGCTAATACAAAAGAGATACGAGACCTAGTATTATTGACATTGTTTATTTGTTCTTCGTACGCTATATTTGTTAGGCTACATCTCATCATTGGTGCTTTAATTGAGAGATTAGTGTGAGATAAAATTGTGAGAGTATGGCCTAAGGAAGAACAAGGGTCCCGCAGCAACACAACGCTGCTCAGTCAAACGGGATTGAGATGGCCCTGAATAACATTGTCAACATGATGGTGAATGTTATGGATAGGCTGGAGCAGGCCCTGCCCAGGCCCTTATGGGTTCCTAGAAACAAAAAGGGGCAGCCGAGGCAGATTCCCCAGATGGCTGGAGGGGTTATCAATCCGATTCTCGGAGAGCTACATACACCTGAGGAGATGGAGAGGGAGAGAGAAGCAGTCAGGAAATGCCTGGAGGTAGAAATGACCCGGAATAACCGGGAGCATCAGGGACAACCCCGGACGGTGGGCCGAGCACCGGCACGACTCCGGGCTACTAGCTTGCGACATAATGCGGAGACTAGAAATTCGAGAGGCTCGGTGTTTCAGTGGATGTCCGGGAGCGGATCCCAATGAGTGAAAGGTTGGGAAAGAACCCTGGAAAAGCCCGAGTAGGCTGGGAGCGACCGCAGCCCAGTCAGGTGGAATCTTCTCACAGAGAGCAGCACCAGGGAGAGAAAGATCGCAGATCTGCATCTTCTTCTTCTTATTCGATGCGGTACACAACGACCAGATGGAGCGCGGCGGAAGAGGATACCCCCTTGGCTCTGATTTTCGATGGGAGAAGACACGCGACGAGGAAAGCGATAAACAACGACAATTTAGAGTTCACCGAAGGTGACCTAAAGACAACTTCAGTGCCATGGTCCAAAAATTCCATAGTTCAATGGTTGTTTGTTGGTATTAGCTCCAAATTCGAGTTGTTCTTCAATTTCTTCTTTGTTTATGCTTGGTTTTTATTTGGTGATTGGATTTTAGTATTGTGTGTAAGTTCTAAGGATTTTGCAGATTTGAGGTTGAATATTTGATATATTGATTGTTTCCTTAAAAATTTGTTCGATTTTATTTGTGTTATGTCTAATAGTTGTTGGTTGTGTTTATCATCAGAGCATGATGGAATGATTGACTTGGTTTTGAAACTGAATTTGACCAGGTGCTTTCATGTTAGAAATCTGCACGGTTAAGGTGTATTCCGTTCGTCCCCTGTATTTGTCCACTTTCATTTTTTCACACCATCCAATGCACTTCTTTAATCCATTTTATCTTGTAATTTGTATATTAAAAAATTATAAAAATTATATATTAATAATCTATAGGTTAAGACAAATCAAACAAGATCACACATGACTATATTTAGGCTTACACATTGAGAGAATTTGAAGAGTCAAAGTGCTTAGATGAACAGTTCCAAAAGTCAAATGTGGACAAATACAGGGGGACGGAGGGAGTATTAAGGTTTCAGGTAAGTGCAACTTACCCTATATATTTTTTTTTCAAAAAATGGCTACTTTGAGTTGTTTGGTTAAATGTGTTACCGTCTTTATTTTTTTATTTTAGTTCCTTAACATTATTGTCATAGATAAGTCGGTCATTGCAATTTCAGACCTATAATTAGAGGTGACAATTGGATCAATCGGATCGGTTCGGGTTGGATTTTTTCAGTTCGGATATCTTTCGGTTATATGTTATAATCAGTTCGATTCGGTTCGGATTGGTTAAATTTCGGTTCGGATTTAATTTCGGTTCTATACATTTTTCAATTCGGTTCGGTTTCGAGTCGGTTCAGATACGGTTCGGTTATAAATCGGTTCGGATAGATTTCGGTTCGGATACAATTTGAGTCGGATATATTTCGGTTTCGGGTCTAGTTCGGTTCGGATATATTTCGGTTTCGGGTCAAATATATTTTGGATATATATTATTTTCTAATTAAAATTTAACTATCCGTGTTTCTTTTTATGTTTTATCACATTTATCAATCTATCATCAATTCAATACCTCATATTATTTTATATTTTTTTCTAGTTATATATTCTCTCTACCCTAAATAATCTTTCCTTTTTGACTTTTTAGTCATATTTTACAAATTTGGACTACAAATTATGAAAACATATATATTTAATTATGATATAAATTTAATATAATTAAATTGATTTTAAAATTTAGTTTTGAAATATCAAATCTTTCTCACATCTACTAATATACTTGTGTATATAAATGAAAGGATTAAAGATAAATTCAAATAGTCTTATGTTCTATTTGAATACAATTTGGTAAAAATTGAGTAAAATTGGGTGAAATTAAGTGAATTTTATTCAATTGAGTGCAAAATTTGTAAATTGTTGAGTATATTTGGTTGAAAATAGAAAAATTAAATTCAATAGAGTCAAATATAATTAATTTTACACCTAAATGTAATGGTTTAGATCAAATTTGAAAATGATAACAGTAAAGGCTACTGCTAGAGAGTCTTTTCAAAATGCCAACACTAGCATCTAATTTTATTGACTAATATTGAGTGAATTGGTTTGAAACTAATCAAATTAACTCTCAAATCAATAAAATTTATTGTAATGAGATGAAATTAGGATAAAATCTAGTTATCCCATACAATTCATCATATATTCCTTTCGTTCCAAAAAGAATATCACACTTCACTATTTAAAAATTACGGAAATCTTATTTGTTTGGACGAGTAATCATTTATATGTATAACTTATCTTTATTTTCTACATTTAATAAATTTAAGGCATAAAATTTTGTACTTTTTTCAAGAAGATAATCTATTTTATGAGGGAATGAGTAAGTAATGTAATTAGTTCAAATGGTAAAAATAAAAGTAAACAATTTAAAAATATAATATGCTTATTGAAAGGCAAACATAGTTCCGAATTTATCGATTTTAGTTCTAATCGGATTCGGATATTATCGGTTTGGGTATTATCGGGTTCGTATCTAATCGGTTTTGGGTTTAATCAGTTAGGATATTTTCGGTTACGGATCTAATCGGTTTCGGATTTAAATCGGATATGAATTATTTAGTTCGGTTTTCGGTTATAGATCAGATCTTCATTTTTCGGGTCATTCCGGTTTCGGTTTCGGATATTTCGGTTCGGGTAATCGGTTCCGGTTCTATTTTGTCAGGTCTACCTATAATAGAGGAAGATATGTTTCTTATAACACCCTGAAACTCAGCCTATTGGAATTAATTAATTAATTATAGTTAATTAATTATTGAGACGGACCCGAAGTTTATTTAAAAATATTTGTTAATAAATATTTAAAGTTATACCGTTGTGTAGGGTTTGACAAGATGAATCCATCGGTTCGAACAGATATGAACTTAGAGCTAGTTGGCCCGAAACATGTATTTTTCCCGAGGTACGCTAATTCATTACAGAGCACGAATCCCTAGGGTATTCAAACAACCCCATACGTGCATACACACGATAGACACCGCCGCACACACTCACCCTTTCCCGTTTCTGACTTCCGGTTGTGCAAACAGGAGAAGAAGAAGAAGAAGAAGAAGTCACCAGTCAACCATCGTCGTCTCGTCGCCGTTCAAGCCTTTCATTCGTGAGTTAGTTTCGTCACTTCGAGGTGAGTACGTGGAACCCGAACGTTAGACTAGGCAATTAGGCTTGACATCTACGTTTGTAATCGTTGTGATGATTGAATTGCATAAAAACATATATGACTTTGTAATTCGGGAATTCTTGGGTTCGATGAGCACTACGGGGTGAAATTCATGTTTTAATTCATATGTTGATGCTATGTGATTATGTGATATTCGTTACGTTTTTATCACCGTGTAAACGTTGAACTGGAGAATCGATGTTGAATATTGAGTGGAAAACATGTTGGTGCAGTAATTGGTATATGCCGCGGCGGACGGTAGGTCGGTACTGCCGGGATGGTACCCAGGTACTGTCACCCCCTCGTTTCCACCTCCCCCTCGCGGTACTTGTCACCAACCGGTACCTCGGTACCGGGCGGACGGTAGGCCATACCGCACAGTCGGTAGCGGCTACCCTGACAAGTATACCGTGTGTAGGTACCCACGTACCGTGGGACGGTTCCTTGGTATCGTGGGGGTAGTACCCCCTTCCGCTAAGGGTACCGTGAGGTACGTGAACCAGACAACAAACCATGTTTTGCCGAGGACGGACCCCGAGGCTTGTGTGTATTGCATGACGGGAAATCAGGGGTGTCAACACCCTAGACGAACCGCTAAATGCTATATTTTCGTTACAAGGTGTTGATCCAACACATGTGTGATTATGTGAAATATATATATATGTTTTTATTTAATATTGCATGCATGAATGGGCTGATCCAGCACACAGCAAACAGGTACCTCATGTTGATCCAATGCATTTGGTAAGGTAAGTTTACCCAGAGGGAATCCTTGGGACTAACATAAATATAGGAAATTAAGAGTATAAACCAGGTGGATGTCTGCTGGGCTCCAATGGTTAAGTCAAACCAAGTAAAAACGTACGTACGGGTATCCTTGAACTGTCTGGTGATCCATCCGGTGGGGATTCCACCCACCCAACGGAGAACTCCTTCGTTGGTTGAGCATGACCCGCTGATCCAGTGGGAACCCTCATAACTCCCAAAAAGTAAAGTTATAGTCCTTAGACTAGTATAGGTTATAGGGACAGGGGTTTGTGATCCACCAACCATGATAAACTCATAGGTTCGAGCAGAGGAGAATGGAAACAGGCAAGCGCCAGATAAATTGTGTGAGTTGAACTATGCATGTGTGATCTATGTGTTGATTGCATGATATCACATGAGTATGATGAATTTTGGATTCGTTTGATTGTTTACTTGACGTTAGTTATATCTCACTCGGCGTCAATGCTGAGCGTGTAGTTGTTTGTGTGCTACACGCAGGTAATCAGGTAAAAGATGAACCTAGAGCCGATCCCGGAAGGGCGATGAGGACGAGGAGATGTGGGTGGAGCTAATGGAGGATATGGAACTTTTAATTATTAATGAATAACTTAATACGTTTTCGGGCGTGAGTCCCAAGTTGCGTTTATTTACTTATCGAGCTTCCGCACTATTTCAGTTTACTCCGATATTGGATTTTTGATGAACTGTTGGATGTTTTCTTAAATTGTTTGAAAAGTAGTGTATGTTGGATACCGGAATAGTGGCAGCCCGATTCGCTAACCCGTGGATCCGGGTTATGCGGGTTGGGGTGTTACAGGGTCTATAAAAAAGTTTCTAATGGTTTAAATTTTGTTTGTTGGGATTGCGCTTAAGTGACGAATTAGAAATTCTATCTCCGTAAAGGGGCTCTGCTTCTCCCACTAATCGCATAAGGCGAGTGATAAGTTCATTTTGTTCGTATTTTATTCAACATATTTTAAGCATTCTTGCACGAAAATAGTAATAAATCAGTACATAATTACTCCCTCCATCCTAAAATTTTCTTCCCATAGCACTATTCCAACTTCACGTGAATTTATATTTATTTGTGTTTTTTCATGGCCTATATGATAAAATAAAATATTCTTGTCACCACTTGTTTTGTTGAACTTTTGATGTAGTTTTAAAATATGTATGTTTTATTTTTTATTTCTATACCAATATTTAAATAAAATAGATTGAAAAAACTTGGGATTTTTCTTTGTTTTGCGCAACGGGAAGAAAGTTTTAGGACAGAGGGAGTATATGTTAAACTGAACAATATCTGTTGGTTTGTTCTTAAGGGAATAATATTTGGTTTTAAAATAAATCAGTTTAGATTTTTCAATTTTACTACTCATATTTATGAGAAAAAGAAGCTTTGAATTGAGAATTATTATCATGAGAATCTCGGGAGAGGCAGAATTAGTGTTGGAAGACAGTAGGAAATGGAAACTGGGCCAAAATTGGACCAAGCCACGAAAAGCCCAAAAAGAGAGGGTCCGAAGCGTCCAACCCATGGACGCTTTGCGGGTTAGACGCTTCGACTTGGACGCCTGGTGTAAATTGCGCTCCATGAACGACACGCGGCAGACAGCGAGTGGACGGAACAGGTATGGCGTCCAACTTTGGATGCTTTGGACTTGGACGACATGGATTCGAGTGAGACCCAGTTTTACTAGAGCTTTTAAACGCTTTTTTATCTTAAAATATTTTTTGAAAAAATAATTGTTCCAATGTCAACTTAGAAGTTAATTTTGATTTAATTGGGTTGAAAAACATTGGTTTGACAAAACACTTTTAAATTTCTAACAAGATGGGTGAGAATCTATAAGTTTACTCGTTCACGCAAAAATGTTGATGACCATCTTATCTTTCCTTTCCTTCAAGTTGTGTAGTTTAAACTTTTCCTCAGTGATTGCTAATTTGCCTCCATACTTGTAATTATTCAATTTGTTGCTTGAGGGAAAGCAACGTTTAAGTGTGAGGAATTTGATAAGTCCATTTTGTTTTTATTTTATTCTACATATTTTAAGCGTTATTGCACGAAAATAGTAATAAATTTACCCATTAAAGGTGTCTATTAGTGAAAAAACTTATGTTTCGTCTCAAGAAGAATAAAATACGGGTTCCAAATTAAATAAACTGGATTTGTCCAATTTATGTCCTAAATTGGATGAAAAGTTTCATATTTTAAAGATGATAATATTTCGGAGGTAGAAATCAGTGTTTGGGAGCCAATTGGGACAATACGGAACAAATTCGGGCCCAAAATTGCAAGAAATTGCGATTGGATGTAAAAAGGGAGCATGATTTGGGTCCTGGGCATCCAAAGTTGGACGTCCGGGGTAGTTGGATGCCCTAGCTAATTGGGGTGACGCGGGTTTTCCACGCGGCGTACGCAAATGGGACGGAACACGTATTAAACGTACGAGTGTCCAAAGTTGGATGCCTAGAGGGTTGGACGCCCGTGTTCCCTGCGTTATAAATACAGAGCGAGTTGGCACCATTTTTACACCAATTCTTAACCCCACTTGGGTTTCCTCCTTTATTTTGCTCAATATTTCTTTTATATTAGCTTTAGTAGTAGTTTTGAAGTATTTTCGGAGGTTTTGTCTCCAGATTTGTTCTATTTCGCTTATACGGAAGCTGTAAGTTTTATTTATTTAATAAAATGATGTTTTAATTTATGTTTGCATAGTATAAGTTAGGGTCCGGACCCCTAGGTCCTGAGTAGTTTTGTTGTATACTTTGAATATTAAATTAATGTTGGAATGGTTAGTCTTTTGTTTTTCTATATTTAGTTAATAAATATCGAAAGATTTAATTAGCTGTTTATTGATAAAATATTATATGTAGAAAGACTATCATATTCAAGGCAACAAATTAAGTACAAAACCTAGAAATAGGTGAGTAATAATAGAAATATTATTATTCCAATTATTAATTAAATATAATAAAGTAGATCTAAATGATGTCCTGACCCTAGGTCCAGATCTACACTTATACTATGTGAAATTAATTTTTTATTGTTACTCTGCTCTCTTTCATTTTGTTCTGAGAAGACTTTCATAAACCTGTCCAAACCTTCGCCTAATTAGAGAAATTGACTAATTTCCTTCGTCCACTCCTCGAGAGACACGACACTTGGAGAGAAAACTAACCCTTTACTGGGAAGGTTTACTACCCGAAAAACTACGATTATCATATATCCATTTGGTACCAATCACATTGACATTCTCTGGCTTTGGAACGATTTCCCAAACACTGTTACGTTCAAATTTCCCTAGTTCCTCCTACATAGCATGTATCCATGGTTTTTCTTTCAGTGCTTCCATTTTTTTGGTTCCATGCATGAAGTGTAAAAGTCATTTATAATTTTGACAAAGTCTATCTTCTTCTTTCGTGTATTGATTCCGACCCTGGGATTCGCAACAATATTCTCTAGTGGATGACTTTCTGGAATATGTGTGTGTACCCTTATTGACTCCTCTTGAGTTATTGTAGTAACCTCCTTATCACTGGGATTTGTCTCAAATTCTGTCATTTCTTGTTCTGTGAGAGTCTCAGAGGGAGCTTTAACAATCTTTGGGCCATCATAATTCTTTTGCTGAACTTGATCATCAACCACGACATTTATTGATTTTATTATGCTTCTGGTCCACTTGATATACACTTTGTGGGCTTTGCTATTTGGTGAGTATCCTACAAAGATAGCTTCATCACTCTTGGCATCCAACTTCCTTTTCTGTTCGATTTCGCGTAAAACATAACATCTTGCTCCAAAAATTTGAAAGTGTACAATATTTGGAGTTCTACCCTTCCATAACTCATAGGGTAGGCCTTGGTGCCATTTCTGAAGTACAGTCTATTTATAGTGTAGCAAGGTGTGTGTACATCTTCGGCCCACAGATTTTGAGGTAAATTTTGTGTATTTATCAAGGTTCGTGCCATTTCTTGAACATGTTTGTTCTGCCTTTCAACAATGCCAGTCTGTTGAGGAGTTTTTAGTGCTGAAAATTCATGTTAAATTTCCTGGTGATCACAAAACTTACTAAAAGGTAAGTTTTTAAACTCACCACCATGATCACTTCGCACACGCATAACTTTCTTTATCTTCACTTGTTTTAAATTTTGAACTTTGTTGCATAATGAAACAAAAGCATACAGTGCATCATCATTGTGCCTCTGAAAGCTTACGCAGGTGTATCTGGTTAAATCATCTACTACCATGAGTACAAACCTTTTTTCTTCCAATACTTTCAGTTTTCATGGGCCAAAATAAATCAATATGCACCAATTCAAGTGGTCGTGTTGTGGATTGATATACTTTTACAGCGTGACTTTTTCGTATTTGCTTTCATTTTCGACATGGTCCACACACCGCCTCATTCTCAAGTTTTTTTTATTTTTGGTAGCCCACGAACAACTCTTGAGTTTGAGAGGGTTCTAAGATCCTTAAAGTTAATGTTACCAAGTATGTAAAGCCATAGCCTTGCATCTTGTTGACTTGTAGGAAACTACAGGATATTGGGAGTGACTTTGTAGCAGTTGTCTGAGGTTCTATCTCCTTCTAATACAGTGTATATGTTTTTGTCCTTTACACGACATTTTTGCTGAGTGAAAGTGACTTCCAGTCCTTGATCACATATCTGACTTATACTTAAGAGGTTTACTTGAAGTCCCTGAACCAGCCACACATTTTTGGTTGGTGGAAGCCCAGATACATTTAGAATGCCACAACCTATAAATTTCCGATGTGCTCCTCCACCTAATCTAGCGTTCCCCTTTTCAATTAGGTTGATATCTGCAAGATTTTTTTAACACCGGTCATGTGATGTGAGCACCCACTATCTAATAACCATTGGTCAGGAGTGACTCTTTAGCATGAATTGACAATCATGACTTTGCATTTAGAAATCCATACATTCTTTGTCTTTCTGGCTTTAGTTCTTCTATACCTGAGCTTGTGACAGTGTCTCTTGATATGGCCCCATTTTCTGCAATTGAAACATTGATAAGTCTTGTGATTGGTCTTCTATGAGTTTTCATGAGATTTTGATAGATTTTTGAGCTATTTTTTTAGATGAGTGGCTTGTTAGAGATAATTCCTTTGGCTATTGTCTTTGATGCAATCTTGCTCCTTTTTTCATGAATTTTTTCATCAGATTCACTAGTGTATCCGAGTCCCTTTTTATCACTTAGAGATTTAAAGATTTCTCCCTGATCATCAAGCACATTTACTCCTGCAGTCTTCATCCACTTTAGATAGTCTTTGAGCTTCTACAGCTTAAAACATAGATTGGATGTTTCAGCTTCCATTTTCTCAATACTTCGTTTTAGAGTTTTGAAATCTGAGATCAACCTATTCTTTTCAGCTACATCTCTCATGTTAACTGTTAAAAGCTCTGTCCACTTCTCTTGCTGATCTGTATGTTGCTCAGCAACGTTATATTCACTATCTTCTGCAAACTGTGAAGTGAAAGCACAATTCTTTCTCCACTCCCTTTATCTTCCATGGGTTCATCATCACTCCATGTGATGGCAAAAGTCTGTCTTTTTTTATTCATGTCATTTGCACATTCTGATTGGATACGTCC